CTGGGCACGAATGTCGGAGAGTGAAGAGATTCTTAAAGAACAAGAGTAGAAGAAGCTTTTTTGAACATAAAGTTTGAATGAATGAGGGTTGAGGTATTTATAGTTTTATAATGACGGTTCAAAACTAGTTGTGGCGGACCAACACTTACGCACATTTAATGCCTTGGATACTGGACCGGCGAGACGTTTGAGTGACCTGTTGTCGCTTGCGTCATAATCTATCGGAGCGAGGTTCGGAAATTCATATTGTTTCTCATCATCTTCTCTCCGAAAACGAGGAGACTATATGTATACGGTTGAATCTGGGTTCATCCATTATTTGACCAATCGGGGCTGAAACATAGCAGGTCACAGCTCAAGCTCGGGTTATATCGAACCAAGGCGCAAAGTTAAATCATCGAGCTCGTGAGCTAGAGACCGAGCAAGATCGAGACCGAGCAAGATCGAGGGAAACTTACCAAACCAAATAACGGAAAGCCAAAATATGCGCAATCGGTCGAGGATCACGGCGGAAATCTCGGCACATACCAAGAAGAGGCCGATTAATTAGTAAATCATGAGATTTTTTACCTTGTATAGAATTGTACCAAAAGTAGAACACCCCCACTATATAAAGGAGGGTTCTGATCATTTGTAGGACACATTCAAAAAGAAGCAATATACTGATCTTTTCTAGTTCTTACCATCTTGTGGTCCAGTCCTAATACTAATTGAGGCATTTCCTGGCTCGAGGGTGATCATACCCAGAGGTTAAGGCTGTTCAATTTTGTGGTTTGTATTTATTTCATTGTCGTTAATTTCAATATTAATTCGTGTTCTTAAACTGTATCAAGTTATATCACATATCCTTAAAATCGTGTATAAATTCAATTGTTATCCAATTTTAAGGATAAACAAATAATTTGCTGAGTTTAACTATAGCAGCAAGCTAATTCTTTTTTTTTTCCTTTCCTTTTTCCTGTTTTTATATTCCCTATATATCTTGGAAGGCTATGTTAGCAGGAGGGACTGAATACACAGTTGTAACACTAACTTGGACACTCTCTTTATTACTTAACAACCCGAGTCCATTACTCAAATGGTCACTCAACTATTCGAAATTATTTGGTAAAATTATTTTTCTTTCATTTGTAACAGAAAAGTCACTTAACTATGCCTATAGCACTCAGAAGGTCACTCAAATAGATTTCTTAAACTTTTGATTGCCAAATATCTTTTTGCCATCTAAATTATCAACTTTTGTCTTTTTTTACTTTTGTAATATTATAATTCTTTTCTCTTTTTAATCTACATTATTGACTTACCTATAGAGAAAATAAATTTTATCTAAAAAATAAAAAATTAATATTCTAGCATATTTATATATCAGAATAATAAAATAATTGAGCATAATTTTCAAGAATATATAATGTATATTATAAAAGTACCTTTATTTTAAATAATTATTTTTATATTACGTGCATAGAATATCTATTTTTAAAACTTTTATTTTCTTTCATTTTCAATTGTGAAAATAAATTTTTGAGTTTTTGTTGTTAACATCAAAATTGTTATTATGAACAAATTGTTCTAATTAAATTATTTACTATGCTCAATATGTTATTATTCCAATATTATATATGCTTAAATACTATTTTATTTTCTTATTTTATAAATAATTTTTTTTATTATATAGGGAAGTCCATAATGTAAATAAAATAGTAAAAAAAAAATACATAAGTTGATAATTTAGAAGGCAAAATAGGTATTTGGCAATCAAATGTCTGAGAAATCTAGTTGAGTGAGCTTCTGAGTGCTATAGACATAGTTAAATGACTTTGTTTTTACAAACGAAAGAAAAATAACTTTAATAGATAAGTTTGGATAGTTGAATGACCATTTGAGTAATGGACTCTTCGCAACCCTCATGTAATGAAAAAGGCCAAAAAAGAACTAGGCATATATATTGGAGGAAATACACTAGTTGACGAGTCACATGTAAAGAACTTGGTCTGTCTTCAAGCCATATATGGTTAAAGAGTCGTTACGTTTATATCCACCTGTACGGTTGTACCATTGTCTCCACCCCATGAATCTATAGAAAACTGCATTAATGTTGGTGGCTACAATATTTCAAAAGGTACTCGACTATTTATCAATCTGTGGAGGATTAAACGGGACCCGTCCATTTGGCCGAAACCCGATATATTCAAACCAGAGAGGTTCTTGACGACACATAAGGATATCGATGTTAGGGGAAATCACTTTGAGTTGAAGAAGAATGTGCCCTGGTATTTCCTCAACACTTGTGATGTTGCACTTGACTTTGGCTGATGTATTACATGCGTTTGAAATTAGAAGACCAACTAATGAACCAATTGACATGATTGAGAGCTTTGTTATGTCTAACCTTAAAGCTACCCCACTTGAGGTTCTCGTTGCTCCAAGGCTGTCCCCAAATTTGTATCGGATATGAAGCCATAATTATTATTAACTATAGTCCAAAAATATAATGTATACATTATTTATGTGCAAAACCTCAATCAATGTTTTCTTCATTATTCACAACCTCCCCACCCCAAAAAAAATCCAATTATGTAGAAGATATCATTAGTCGATTCTATACTATTATGGACTTGTCTTTTGTATTTTTATTTTGAAAAAGTTGGCTTGAATCACCTCATGAAAATACATGTGCTAGAAAATGACAATAACTGTGTTTTTTGTCATGAAAACTATCTTGTGAAGTTGCAGTTTATCTAGTAATTTACACAAATCTTTTCTTCTTTCCTTAAGGATCTAAGATAAATCAAACCTTTTCAAAGCTTCGATTTATCTAATTGTTGGTAGCAACTTTAAGTGTCCATCTATGTAATTAAAAAAAATGGAAGACAGAGATATATTGTATGGGGTAAAAATATGTTCGTATTTAATGATCGAAAGAAAAGCGACACGTGGAGCCAAAAAAAAAGATAATCGAACACGAAGGCAATGATCTCGTTTGTCATCGGAGAGAATGATATTAATAAAGGCAAAATAAATGTCTGTCATCCGGTAGCATTTAAGGAAGAACATTCTACACCATTAAGTGCATGATCTGTTACAGAGAATATGGCATTCACTGCCCACCGTTACACATTCATCAATGGCCCTCATTATTGTCATTTAAGATGGGCTTGATCCTAGGACCTTGTCCCTAGGTATGACTATAAAAAGTGAGCTCTACCATCATTGTAGGGGAAGGAATTTTCTGACAAGCATACACTATATTCAATCAAGAGCTTAATAACATTTTACTTTCTTGCTTACTGAAAACTGTCCTTACTGCCTCCGGTACGGGACTAAGATATCTGCTGTTTATTTCAATTTCAAGGCTAAGTCTTACATTTTTGTCTAATTCATCTACTATTGTTGGATCAAATCGATTCACTTGTCTATAAACCACGTATAAATTCAACTATACCGTTTTACGGGTAAATAGTTTGGCGCCCACCGTGGGGCATATACAGTCGTGTAATTGATTGATCCCTGCATCTATTGCTAACTTGTTTGATTATTTGTTCTTAGCAAAAATTATTAAAAATGGCAGATAATGGTGTCAACAACACACACAACGTTGAGGCCCAAGGAGATCAGCCTTAGCATGACGATTCCATTAGTGATACCCGCAACGAGGAGAACGAGGCCACGCCGATCCATGGTGGGCAATATCCACGACACGTTCGAGAGGCAACCCCTGACGATGCTGAAGATGAGCACATCGTGGAAACAGTAAGGATCCTGTGGGAACAACAAAGGGCCGTTGTGGGCCATCTCTCGCGGCAGGATCAGTTCATGACGGAATTAAAGCAGGCACGGGTGGTTGCAACAATGCGAATGGACAAGGTGCAGTTCCTCCCGGTGTTCCCGCAAATTAAAAAATACAGAGGACTGATAACAATACCCCAAGGGGCGAAATCGGCTTTGACAGGACCGGGTGGAACGGTGGCGGATCCGGTAATAACAACAAAAATAATCCATTCAAAACCGTACTCATGCGGTTTATGAGGGAGATAAACACTCGAATAGATCAAATTTCGAGCGCACCACCAGTGTTGAAAGGGCCGGATTCAAAGAAATATACACAATTGTCGTTCAGACCGAGTACGGCACTATAGTTGATCCTGAAGCAGTTCAAAATGCTAGATGTGCCAAAGTATGATAGGACTTCAGATCCTAAGGAGCACATCACTACCTATACTATGGCGGTGAATGGGAACGATTTAGCTCCCCACGAGATTGAGTAAGTTTTGCTAAAGAAATCCGGGGAATCCCTTACAAAGGGAGCCCTGACATGGTATTCGCTCTTGCTCGAGCACTCCGTATACTCTTTCGAGATGCTCGTGGACTCTTTCGTCAAGGCCCATGGCCGATCCAAAAAGTTACAGGCCCAAAAGGCCGACATATTCAGGATTGCACAAGGAGAGTCCGAGTTTCTGCGGGAATTTGTGACCAGATTCCAGAAGGAAAGGATGTTGCTACTAGCCATACTGGACGACTGGGTGGTTGACACATTCACCAAAGGTTTGAATCCGAGAAGTTCCGACGCTTCCAGGAAGTTGAAAGAAAGTTTGCTCGAGTTCCAAGCGACAATATGGGCAGATGTTCACAACCGGTACGAATCAAAGATAAAAATCGAAGATGACCAACTCGGTTTCTTGGCATCAACCAAGGGTCTAGATCGGGAGAAGAATAAAGAGAAGTAAAGAGATAATTTCAACTCAGATCGACGGTCTTCAAGGGGTCGATTTTTACCCTACAGGCGGGCCAAAAGACGCGGCAGAGGTTTTCAGTTGGCGGATAGATTCTCCATTTATAGGAAAGTTGATCGCGATCGGAGCAACAAGCCATTGTAGAACAAGGAGACATCGGTTTCTCGAGATTCTTCCTATCCTAAGATTTCCGAGTACAACTTTAACGTTTGCATAGTGGAGCTGGTGTCAGCTATGAGAAATATAAAACAAGAATGATTTCCAAAGCCAATGAGATTTGATCCTAGCCAAAGGAATCCTAATTTGTGGTGCGAATACCATGGGACAAATGGTCACCGAACTGGAGACTGCCGGCATCTGCACGAAGAGGTGGAGACATTACAAAAAAATGGCCATCTCAGGGAATTATTAAGTGACCGGGCTAAAAATAACTACGACTGCAATTGTGATAATGCAGAACCTTCGAAAGCAAGAGAAGATCCCCTGCGCCTGATGATCAACATGATTTTCGGCGGGAATGAGATTAAGAGGGTTACGTTCTTGGCAGCAAAAAAGATGAAGGTGTCGGTGACCCAAAGCAAGAGACTCCGGGAAGTCGCCGAAGACGACATTACTTTCACGGAGGAATACACAGATAGATTGCTGCCACCACACAATGGTGCGTTGGTAATTTCTTTGAATGTCTTAGATTTTAAAATTAAACGTGTTTTAGTGGATCTAGTAAGTTCGGCCAACATCATACAATGGAGGGTGTTGGAACAAGCCAAGCTCACTGGAAGCATCATTCCGCCCACAAAACCCCTAGCAAGTGTGACAACCCGAGGAGAGATCATGCTGCCCACGAATGCTGAGGGGGTGATGAAGATGACCCTTTCTCAGGTGGTGGACGGTGATATGGGTTACAATATCATTCTGAGGATACCGTGGTTACACGAGATGAAAGTTGTGCCATTAACATATCATCAGTTGCTCAAATTATAACTCCCGAGGGAGTTAAGCAAATAAGAGGTGACCATCCAGCGGCAAGGGAGATGAATGCGATATTAGTTTCCAGTAGCAAAGGGAAGGAGCATGCGGCATAGCAATTACAGGAACCGATGCGTGCTCCCGAGCCGAGTGAAGTTAATCAGGGACAAGAGTCGTCTGAATCCTATCAGGTGCCAAGGTATTTCCAATTACCAGAGGAGACGGATTCAACAAAGGCCACATCGAAAGAACTAGATCAAGTCGCATTGTTTGAAAAATTCCTGGAGAGGAAGTTCCACTTGGGGACAAGACTGCACCCCGAACTCAGGTATGAATTTATTCAATTTCTTAAAATTTAATGTCGATTTTTTTTGCATGGTCGCATGCGGATATGACAGGTATCCCGCCGGAAGTGGCTTTGGACAAGCTAAGCCTGGACCCCAATATCCCTTCAATAAGTTAGAAAAAGCGTCCTATTGCCGAGGTCAGGAATAAATTTGTCAAGGAAGAGGTAACTCGCTTGCTTGATATTGGTTCAATCCACGAGGTAAAATATCCTGACTGGTTAGCTAACATAGTAGTAGTTCTAAAGAAGAATAATAAATTTTGCATGTGCATAGATTACAAGGACTTAAATAAGACGTGCCCAAAAGACTCGTTCCCATTACCAAATATTGATCAAATGACTGATGCAATGGCTGGGCACGAGTTAATGAGTTTGCTCGATGCTTACTCCGGGTACAACCAAATCAAAATGAACCCGGAAGATCAGGAAAAAAACTTCATTTATCACGAACTTCGGCACATATTGTTATAATGTGATGCCCTTCGGGCTAAAGAACTCCGGAGCCACTTATCAATAGCTCGTGGACAAAATGTTTGAAAAGAAAATTGGGAAAACCAGGGAAGTTTACATAGATGATATGCTTGTTAAGTCTTTGAACGCAGGTGATCATCTTAAACACTTGCAAGAAACTATTGACATCTCAAGGAAACATAACATGAAGCTTAACCCCGAGAAGTGTGTGTTCGAGGTCAGCTCTGGTAAGTTCCTAGGTTTCTTGGTGTCACAAACGGGGATCGAGTTTAAACCCAATAAAATCAAAGCCATTGAAGACATTCCGGACTAGCTGTCGAGCGTAAAAGAGGTTCAAAGGCTAATAGGGAGACTGGCCGCATTGAGTAGATTCATTTCCCGGTCTTCAGAGAAATGCCATCATTTCTTCTCGTTTCTCAAAAAGAAGAATAACTTCGAACGGACCACGAAATGCCAGCAGCCTCTGAGGGATTTGAAAAGTATTTGTCGAGTATCAAAATCGGAGGAAGGCGAACAACTGTTGATCTACTTAGCAGTCTCGGAGGTAGTGGTAAGTGCTGTTTTAGTCCGTGAGGATGAAGGTACGCAATCTCCTATTTATTACGTTAGTAAAATTTTGACGGCAGCAGAAACTCGCTACCCACATCTGAAAAAACTGGCCCTAGCTCTTGTAGTCGTCGCTCGAAAGCTTAGGCCTTATTTCTAATGTCACCTGATAGTTGTGGTGACCGTTTTTCCCCTGCAGAACATTCTTCATAAACCCGAACTTCCGGGTAGGCTGGCCAAGTGCTCCGTCGAAATAAGCAAATTTGACATAGAATACAAGCCTAGGACTGCGATTAAATCACAAGTCTTGGCCGACTTCGTGGCCGATTTTAGTCCGGGATTGTTACCTTTGGATACCAAAGAAGTAGTGATGGTGTCGGAATCGACATCAGGGGTTTGGGCCCTATTCATGGATGAAGCTTCTAATGTGAAAGGGTCCAAGCTCGGCATAGTATTAACCATGCCTTTAGGAGAAACACTAAGGCAGGCCATAAGAACTGTTCCTCTAACTAACAATGAAGCGGAGTATGAAGCTTTGATTGCAGGACGCGAATTGGCCGGGGATTGGACTCCGAGGTCATAGAAATCAAATGCGACTCCTAGTTGGTGGTGAATCAGGTTTATGGGATCTTCGAAGCCAAAGCGGAATGCATGCAACAGTACATAATGAAGGTTTATGCTCTGCTCGATCGATTTCGGGAGTGGTCAATTACGCATATCATGAGGGAAGAGAATGCAGAAGCAGATGCACTAGCTAACATTGGCTCGTCTATAAAAATGAAAGGACCGGACTCCGAAACGATCGTACAGCTTATGCGCTCAGTACTGGACATAGATAGCTATTACGAGGTAAACGCGACTAATTTGGTCTGGGACTGGAGAAATGAGATTATTGATTATCTCAAGCACTGGAAGTTGCTTGAAGATCCTAAGGAATCTCAGGCACTACGCACTAAAGTAGCTCGATACAACTTCAAGGGCGGTCAATTGTACAGAAGATATTTCCAAGGCCCGTTGCCTTGGTGTTTGGGAGCCTCTGAAGCTAATTATGTTATGCGAGAAGTCCATGAAGGAATCTGCGGGAATCACTCAAGCGCAGATTCCTTAGTATTAAAACTAATTAGGGCAGGATAATATTGGCTCCGGATGGAACAAAATGCCAAGGCTTATGTTAAAAAATGTTATAAATTTCAGCATTACGCACCATTGGTTCATCAACCGGCAGAGCCATTGCACTCAGTTTTGTCACCATGGTCGTTCATGAAGTGGGGAATGGATATCGTCGGACCACTTCCACCGGCTCCCAGTAAGGTAAGATTTCTTTTGATTTTAACTAACTATTTTTCTAAGTGGGTTGCAGCGGGTCCTTATCAAAAGATCGGCAAACGTGAGGTGGTAGATTTCTTGTGGGAGAACATAATTTGCAAATTTGGGATACTAAAAGAGATAGTCTGCGACAACGGGCTGCAATTTATAGGTGCAAATGTCACAAAGTTCCTTGAAAACTTCAAAATCAAAAGGATCACATTATCACCCTATCATCCGAGCTCAAACGGTCAAGCATGATCGTGATAAAGGTAAATGGCCCGAAGAGCTACCAGGTGTACTGTAGGCGTACCGAACAACGGTCAAATCAAGTATAGGAGAGACTCCTTTCTCTCTTGTGATGGAGCGGAAGCCCTGATCCCGGTGGAAGTAGGGAGCCTACCCTGAGATATTTCCGGGCAAATGAAGAAGCAAACAATAAAGCAATGTTAGTCAATCTGGAGCTACTCGATGAACGCAGGGACTTGGCCCACATAAGGATGGCAGCCCAAAAGCAGAGAATGGAGATAAATTACAATAGAAGAGCCAACCTCCGTTATTTCAAAGAATGAGACTTATTTTAAGAAAAGTAACTCAGAACACTCGGGAGCTTAATGTGGGGAAGCTAGGTCCAACATGGAAGGCCTCTACTGGGTTTCAACTGTCACCGGGAAAAGATCGTACAAGTTAGAAATCAAGATGGAGAAAAGTTTCCAAGCAACTCGAACGTGGCACACCTCAAGATATATTATTGTTGATAAACATTTTCTGTACTAAAAGTATGTGCTGCACTCTTTTTCCCTTCGTCCAGTTTTTTTCCCAATTGGATTTTTCTGTCAAGGTTTTTAACAAGGCAGCAACGGAAAGCATACTACGGAGGAAGCTTTAGAAATAATACCTTTAAATGAGAAGGCACACAATCAAAGAACCACTACGAAGTGGCTAGATAATCTTTTGCTCGATAGCAAAGTACCTACCGAGATGTTAAATTTGCTGTCGAATAGAGATTACCGGACTGTTCACAAGTGCAAGCTACTAGGGGATTGTTAGATAATCTTTGGCTCGATAGCATAAATTTCTAAGGGGGAGTGAAGTTTGTTATCGAACTGAAGATTATCTAGCAATTCACTAGTGGAATCCTCGAAGGTGTAAAACTTCCAGTGTTCAAATTCGAGTTCTTCGCATTCGAACACTATGGGGAATCATATGAGGATATGGTAACAACGACTGCCACTTCGATCGGAATACGAAAACCAAAAAATATAGTTGTATCATCGAGATCGGGGACTACGCCTCCAGCCCGGTAGAAACAAGTTGTATAAGTTAGCCACAAGAAATGACAATTTCTTTTTAGCACAACGAATGCTTATGTACTTTTGAAAATGGAAGGAATAAAGAAAATCCTTTTATTTCTATCTTCTTTCTTGTCTGAATGATGAATTGATTTTATCATTTGAAAGTTAAACAAAAACTTCAAATGCTAGTGTCGTAATGAACAGGAGATGTCCTCTTCAAGAGCACCATAAACATAAGAGGGCCCTCTTTTATGAGAACACTCACGTTAAAGGGTTGATTTCGAAAGAACTTATGCCCGAAATTAAATGCTTTCGGGGGAAAATACACCCGAAACCTTGCACAATTAGATGCAAATACTTAAAACAAAAAAAAGACGCAAAGAGCAAATTTGCGCAAATACTTAAACAAAAGTACGCAGAAAGAAAAGCTTATACCACACTTGAACAAAAAAGTGTTTTTATTCACAATAAGTGTGCCGAATGGCACAAATACAAAGATATGAGAAAGAAAAGAAAACAAAAACTAAGCTACTGCATCTCCAGAACCTGGAGGAAGAGAAACATCTACGCCCCTAGAGGAAGTGGGAGGATCCACCGCTGGCTCAACATCTTGGCCCTTATCATTTGGGCCTTCAACATCATCACCTTCCGGTTCCTCTTCAGTTTCCAAGAACTCAGAATCGAAACCAGAAGAATCAGTAGCATCAGGCTGGGCAGGGAGCCCCTTTTTTGCAGCTAACTCCAGCTCATGGGCCTTAGCGATTTCGGCATCAAAGTCAATGACACCCGTTTTGTCCTCTCTTAAGGTTTTCCTCCTCATGTTGTACATAGCATATGTTTTTCTCAACAATGAGGGAAGCCGCTCGGCGTTCAAGTTCCTCTTTAAGTTGGTCAACCTCAGTAGAAAGGTTATCCCGCGCAGATCTAACTGACCGGAAGCTGACATCAAGGTCACGGACATTAGAGCTGAAAATTCTATTGTGCCTAGTAGTCCTCTTATGCTTGTCCCCCAATTGGGCATACTTCTCCTCGGTAGTAGTAACTTCTTCGAC